CCCCCCCCCCCCCCCCCTCCGCAAACGCCCCCCCCCTCCGCTGGCGCCCCCTCCGCCGGCGTCCCCCTCCGCCGGCGTCCCCCTCCGCTGGCGCCCCCCTTCACTGGCGCCCCGGGCGATCGCCCGCCTCGCCCGCCCCTAGAAACGGCCCTGGTCAACAGCAGGAAGGATTGTGAAAATCTTCAAATTATTAATAAATGTGAAATTCTATGGACATCAGAAGAAAGTAGTGAGAAGCCAGATTCATGATCTGAAGCGCAAGAGTCATCAAGGCCTGTAAAGATAGTGAGACAAGGGAAGCAGAGGTACTCAGGAAAGCTTAATAGCAGGATGTAACCTGGCATTTAGTGTGAACACTGGCACCGCCTAGAGCCGGTGAACGAACAAATCTGTCACCTTGCGCATAGTCATTAGAAGTAGTTGGTTTCATATATCTGTCACAGATGACACTACCGTATCCATCGCATCCCGCATACGGCTCCGATAGCCGCTATCGAGCCACTTCGGATTCATCTATTCCTGTCACGATATCAAAATTCGTGAAGGAACCTGTCATCGTTGGAGAAATGCTGATGAGTTGCAATTATGTCAAATTTCATTCCCAGAACTGATTAAAAATCGAATGAATGCCTTCCCGTATTTCCGCACTCGTTTCATCTTATGCCGCCTCACGCCGGTGCATCTGCCACAGCAGATGGGATTATACCCATGCTGCAGATTCTGTAATGCAACAACAAGCACTGCAGAGCCACCCTTGTTTACTTTCCCTCCCGCATTTCATTTCCATATCCTCACCGACGGGAGGTCGCAGTCCTTTGTCGATGACCCCATAACTCCCGTTTGTGCCTCTTCCTTCCCATGACCCTCACTAGTTGACACAACCATGTAAGGGAAAGGGACGTACGATTAGAGGAAGGGGCCTGAATTACGGTGTGAGGGAGTAATTTCCTCTGATATAACTGTGGTTAAATTCGTATTATTGCCAGGAAGAGTGTCATCCCTGGCCGAGTTCTCACGTGGGGAAGTCTCACGACCAGCCTCGAAGGGGAATGAGGAGACTTCCTTTATTCGCCCATTTCCGAGCTAGAGTGCATTTCCATGCAGGAGGCCTATCGGTGTTCGGTTCTGGCGCGTCACAGTGGTGCGAAGGCGTCGAGTATAATACATATGTGACAAGCCTTTTCTGTAGGCGTACGTGTGGTCGCGACACGCGGTCTCAAGGCATGGAATGTCCAGCCGAGCACATCTGTGGCATCTGGCGTATTCCCTGGACCGCATCTCCTTCTATGAATATCTTATAGATGAGCAGTCGCCGAGGTTGAGAGTCGACTTGAGACCTTGCGAATGATGATGATAGAAACCCGATCTTTAATGCAAGGGCATGACGTCACGCTTCGCTCGTGACTTCTTCCTGTAAACATCCATCAAGCAGCCGTTCATCGCCTCCCTCTTCCTCTCGAGCGCTCTCGTTCGATCATTGTGGATGGACCCATGAATAATCTCAGTATAAGCCCTGTCAGGAGGAAAAGAAAAGAAGTGGATGTCAAAAGGAATGCAGGTGTTGTCGCAGTCAGCACGTGTCCCCCTTCACACGAGAGGGTGGCCTTGCGTCGTCGTAAACACGAGGAAGGCAGACTCTCTTCATAAAAGAAAGTTTCAAAAGGAAGTTTAAAAATTTTTCGTGGGTTGTTTTTTTTTTTTAAGGATGGTTGCGTAAGTTCTCCGGACTGGTCTCAAGGTGCCGGGTAAAGGGGTCAGTCATCTTTTACTTCACTGTATAATGAGAGGATATGGCGGGTGGGCTATGTATGCCTCTGCTCACAGTCGTATTTCTTCCAGGCGTTATCTCACAAGGACGGCCACTAGCTGTAGGGAGCGTCGATGACGTCTTCGGGATCTCTTCTCTCTCTCTTGCATTATGACGCGGTATCATTTTTTTATGTGGAGGTATTGTTATGTCACAATGGTATTGCAAATCAGTCCACTTTGCTTTGAGTGTCGATCGAATGGGACAAATTATCCAACAGTGAGGCTGTCAGTCTGCGAATGAATGATGAGATCCCAGCGACTAAACTCGTTCTTTTTCCGGGCGAGAGGTGCTAAAAAAAGAAAACCGTTAGGGATCAATTACGCCTGACGGGTCGTCGGCGTGAAATTCCCTCTCTACCTTCTCTCCTCTCTGTGCAAATATTGAGAGAACCCGACGGTTTAGGAGAAGGGGGGGTTCCCCTTTATCAGAACGAGGCAGGCGTGTTGAGCTGCCCCCCCTCCCGATAGGACGTGTACAGTGGGGCGTGTGAGAGGAGAATGCACGTGAATGTGAGTGAAGGAGGATGAGAGGCGGAGAGAGGAGGGTGGAGAGCGCAAAATACAGACACTCCGGCTCAGTGTAATCGTAGTGGAGGGAATCGGTTGGTGTGGGGAAGATGTCGGCTTCGTCCGCGGCTTCCGCGTACGATTTTGATCTCATGCTCATCCGTGCCTGGGATCGCTCTCATCCGCGGACCATATCTGCGGCTCGTCCGTTCTCTGGATCGGATACCGAACATGCGACGTGGAATTACGGTTTCTCCCACTGTGCGCCACCTCCACCCCCATCCGTGCGTTCGAGGTGTGTGAAGCCGCCAAGAGCCCCGCCGTCCACGTGGGGACGGCGGCGGACGTCCTCGTTCACGCTCAGCCGTTCCCACGACAACGTTGCCTTCCTGGGACTCAGCAACTCGAAAACATCGTTGAACCGCTCTAATTCCCTCAATCGGTCCGGTTCCCTCAATTCCCTTCACAGGAAGGTCATGGCCGTAGCCAAACGTGAGTTACATGTTCCAGACGACAAGCGTTAAGTACCCGTTTTTCCCGCTGTGCTTTTGTTTGGTGGAGTGGATATCTGCATTGCGATAGACAAGAGTGCCACGTGTGGACTTAGCACCTCAATTCACGGCGTGATACGAGGTCGAGATAAAGTCAGGCGCCTTTCGCAGACTCTCCACGCGGGAAAAAGTGTCAGGGCCTGTCAATTGAAACGTCACGTCTCAAGAGAACCGGATAGAGAAAGAGACGAGCAAAGAAGCAAGAGCGAGAGAGAGAGAAAGAAAAACGGAGGGTGGTTTCTTTCACAACATGGTTGCTCGCAGTTCGTACCAGGCAGACACCCATGCCAAAACCTTTTTCTTTCTTCTGTTGGCGGTTTCTGTCATAATGCAGAACCGCATGGTTCTTTTGTTCCCTTTGCCTTAATCACCGTATTAATTGCCTCGGCAGTTCCCACAGGAAGAAACAAGGGTCCTGTGCCACCATACGTTGACCGTATTTGGCGGTTCAAGGTCGTATGCAAGACTACGTATAGGCATAGAAGGATGACGAGATGAACAATATCTCTAGATGCTCATGAGACAAGTAGACACGCATGCCAACCTCCATATCCTTTTTTTCCGGGTTGTAGTCCGAGATTTCTTGCTTGGATCCCGGTCTCTTACCCAAGGCCGATGCATAATTAAAAGTGCTTCGTGGGCTAGGAAAAAAAGTGCGTGGGAGCAATGCTAGTGAAGCCCAAAGCCCGTCACGCCCTTCTCCATCTCGTCGTTTTTTTCCCCTTTTTTCTTTTCGCCTTTCGATTCACGCCCAGAGAAGGAAAATAGGCCAAGAACGGAAAATATCGGGGAAATTTAAATCTCAATGCTTGGCAGATTGCGTCACGAGAGCTATGGTTTATTTTGTTTCTCCCTGATGCACATATGATGTACAAGTATACCCGTTCAGGAAAGGCGGGGATAAGGGAAAGTGAAGTGAAGGTTGATGGACTGCGGCCTTTTGGTTCGCAGAGTCCATAGTCCATAGAAACTCCTGGCTCCGAGACACGTAAACACTCGACAGAGAGGATTTAGGGCCTCTCTCCCTATCTCGCCTGGAATGAGTCATGCAAATCCTGAGTCGGTGTATACAATTCAAAATGCCAGGGAAGGGAGCGAGAGCGAAGAAGTGGCTCAAACAGCAGCAAAACAGGGTATCACGCTGCATCTCTTCCATTATGTACGACATGAAAAAGAGAAGCCAACGACCCGAGGCTTATCGTCATGGGGCGTTGAGTAGGTAGAAGAAGGGAAAGGTAAGCCTAATTAGAAATTCGGATGAAAGCGGGCTTTATTACCTGCTATCAACGTTCTGTATGTCGTAATGGAATGCGAGGCGGATTCCATCCCGCCCATCTGTTTTACATTCTGGAAGGGGATCAGTTTTTGGAGTGTTTTGTTTGGTCAAGGACGACTGTTTTTGCACCCGTCCAGGTGTGGCTTTTGGAACTCTCTTGAGTCTTGACCTTTGATTAAATGATGGTCTCTTTTTTTCCGCGTGGGCGAGAGATAAAACGAGGGGGAATCGCTGGTCCGTAATCACAATGGATGGAATCGAGTCCTTGCGAAATGCCGTGTCAGGGAAGCCTCGGGGGCCACGACGTGTGCAACAGGTGTGATGAGGCCCTGGGCTAGGCCAGGCCGGCTTTGATTTTCAATCTATTAGGATGATGAGACCACAGGAATAGGGAAAAAGTGTGATTGCGACGGAGTAGGTCGTGGACTTCATGATCATTGCGAAGGGAATCTCTTGCGTTGTCTGCTGACTCAAACTGTATCTGACGTCATTCTCGTTGTCTGCTGGGTTTCTGTTATCGCTACTCCATTTGTCTCCAAAAGAATCGCTCTCCGGACGCGTCTATATGAAAAGCCAATACTGTGGTTGATTCCTTGCAAACATGTGAAGTGCGAAGGTCATACCATGAGTAAGGGGAGATTCATGGTAGATTGGCGAAAAAATGCGAAATATCAGCATGAGATGAACGTTGAAGTTCACAGAATGGAAACGGACTTTGTCTTTGCAGGGCTGGGTGAAGCCGTCCAGTGGTCGAGTTCATCCAAGTCCACTTTGGCATCTCCCAACAGCACCTTCAGATATTCTCACCCGGCGTTCACATTCCCTAGGATGCAGGTTAGCAATTTATTCTTTGATTATGGGGTCACCTTTAAGGGGAGATGACCTTGAGTAATGATTTCCCTTCAATGACCCTTCCAGCAATTATCTTCCTTTGCCCTTCCTTCATGTTCTCATTGTTCTGTCAGATGGTGTGGGAGCCAAATAAATGGCCCATTTGGTCTTGTTGTCAAACTAATTGGGTTGAGGTGTGCCGTCTCTTATCTGTTCTCATGCCAGTCTATTTATGCATAGAAATTTCCACACTTCATTGTGCTGTCAGTCTTCACGTAGAGGAGTCCCCTTTTTGTGTCATAAGGCCTTTCTCCATTATAACGTATGCCATGGAATGAGATTTCTCTGGCTTCCTCCTCGAATAGATTCGACCCATGCGAAAATATAGATATGCCTTCTCATGCTGTGAATTAGTCGTAACTAGCATGTGAAACTGATTTAATCTTTCATCGGCGTTAGAATCGAAAACGTATCCTCCATGTTCGTGTGTTTATCGTGCATGTAGAGTGAAACAGAGTATGGTAAATTTAAACCTTTTTTTGAAAAAAAACTAAAACTTTCAGCCGTTGCATTTGGCCCTCTCCTTTTGAGTACTTTGTGCCATGTGCCATGCCTAAGCGCAGTTGAAGGAGTTCTCAACGATGTACTTGTTAAAGAAAAGCTGTTAAAAAAAAAACCGTTAAGTCCAAAAATCGAAGATAAACAACTATGTGAAAGAACGTGAGAAAAACGTGATGTCGGAGGTTTATTTTTAAAATTCGGGAATGATGAAAAGGAAAGTTGGAACACCTCCAGTGGAGTTCTGTGTATATGGTTGAATTCATTCAACGCAGACCACCTCAAAATATCTGTAATTTGGTGACACAATTTTTTAAATATTAAATTATAAGTGAATGTAGGCTACTCTCTTCATTCTTTTGTTCCTTTGAAATCTTCCTTGTGAGACTGACAGCTCTAATGGAAGTGCTCTACTCCCCAAGTTCCTGTGTCACCTTCTATTCTGCGGTTGCTATTGTGACAGAGCCCAGACCAAGAGAGTGGGATAAGTAGTGGAGGCAGCAGCAGTGGGGGGAGTGGACCCACCCCATCTTCGGTTCTCCTTCCGGTCCGCATGAACAGTCAGGAATCAAGACGCAGCTTCAGCAGCCTGGATTCAAGCACTGTGGGCACCCATCGCCTTTCGGGGCAGTCTTTCTCATCCTCGTCGTCCTCATCCTCATCCTCGCTGGCCGTTGTTTCAGACGACCGACCGAGCTTACGGCTCTCCCATGTCAACATCCACTTCCTCATCTCTCAGGGTGTCCCTGTCAGTGTCACAAATGTTTGGACAGCATTGGAGTGGAGTTCATTTTTCGTAACGCTTAGTTCATCTCTTCTAAGGATTCGGAAGTGCTGAATGTTTGGCTGTCGGACTTGGGTCTTCAGGAATACTACCCTCATTTCATCAAGGCTGGCTATGACATGCCCACCATATCACGAATGACTCCAGAGGTAAGCCGAAAATAGCTGCTTTTACTCAACCTAATCATGCGATTGTATTATAAAGAGTACATACTTATTTTTTTTCTCCCATCGTAGGACTTGACAGCTATTGGAATCACGAAGCCAGCCCATCGGAAGAGACTGAAGGCAGAGATTGCCAAACTGAACATATCTGATGGCCTACCTGATCATATCCCTGTAAGTAAACATGAAATTTTTTTTTCTTCAATTTTTCCAAAATTTTTTCTTTTTGTTAAACTGGACAGACTTTGATTTGCAAGTTGATGCTACTAAAACTAATTATTTTTTCCCACAGTTGAATGAGTTTTCTTCTTGGAGGACTTAAGAAAATTAGTTTGGGCATAAGGGAATTTTTTCACTTCTTGCAGCATTAATTTGAGTCACAAACTTTTGCAAGTCATCTTAACTTATGGTAGTGACATATATGAATGTAGATCAATGCAGCAATGAAGGTCTTGTTCCATGTACAGGTGTCTGTGCAAGTATCTTAAGAAACCATTGTCTTTCCATCAACGGTCCCAGTAGGGATCATTTCTTAGCAGAGGAGTAAATATTACTAGGCCAGAGAAACAGTTTACCTGTGCTATATGTAGGAAGGAGTGTTTATTTATGTGGAAAGAACCCCAGAGATAGAGATCATTGTGAGACCACCCTCGCATTTCTTTTATGCGTGAAGAGTGGCCTCTTGCCAAATTGCACTGCCTTGTCTTGCCAATGCTGCTAAATTTGGCTAGTTGCCTACTTTGGGCTACTTTATTCATGCATTTTTCCTTCTGCTCCTTCCCAAAATCCCTGGTTTCTCTTGGAACAGGGAACACTTGATGAGTGATGATGGATGCTGCTTGTAACATGTTGGAGTAATTTTAGCTTTGTCAGAGGGGAGGGAGTCTCATTTTTCTTAGCCCTTGTGTAATGAGGGCACCTGGACATTCTCTCATTAGCTTGTGAACATCAGGATTTGGTAGCATGGAACACCATTTCTTGTATACAGTATTTTCCTTTATTGTTGATGGGGGTTATCTAATCTGAAGTAGTCTTGATTCATGTAGGCCAAGTTAATTGTGTCCATGTTTTTGGCGAAGCAGGAAAGCCTGAATGCCTGGCTCCATGAACTGGGCCTGAGCGAATACCTACCAACACTATTGGCGCAAGGCTTTGCCACTGTGGACCAAGTCCTGGAACTCCAATGGGAGGATCTAGAGGAGATAGGGATCTCAAGGCTTGGTCATCAGAAGAAGGTAATGCTGGCCATCAAGCGAATGAAGGAGATCTTGTCTGGGAAGAGGCGTCCCAGCCACTCTGACAACCACTCCCCACGAAGATCCTCTTTTTCCCAGGTGAGACACAGGGAAGGGGGGAATGGAACCATCAATCAAAAAGAAATGGGACAAGGGAATGTCATGCAAGGAGGGAGGGAGGGCAGGAGCTATGTGTATGGCAGGGATGTTTATATTTATGTGCGAGCAGAATTTATCTGGAGAAGAGCAGAGAAGCCATTCACATATGAGTTCATGTGTGAGCACAAGAATCACTCATTTATGTGTGACAGAGTATAAATGGCTCCCATGCATCCATGAAGAGAGATGAATCCATTGATATGTTCTTGTTTAGATTTTGATGACATATTTTCAATTTTATTTACTCAGATTTATGCTTGATACAGCAGGAAATGGTTGCTTCTAAGAATTTTACAGCTTGTTGCTCAACTGTCAATACTACATTTTATGCAGCACCTTCTACTGTGTTTGAAACTATTTACTCTTCCCCCACATATTTAAGTAATTTCCTTAACAAATGGTTCTCATTGTTAATATAGTGGCATTTTTATTCCACAGGAAATGATAGCCATCACACCTCATAAGATGCATGTGAGCCCAATCCTTCATAGCATTCCACCTGACACAGGAGGAGGGGTGAGCATTGGAGGCTCTGCAGCCCCCTATGTCACCTATCATAAACAGGCTTCTGGAGGAAGCTCAGACAGGCTCTACATGAATTTTCCTCCCCAGATGAAAACATTCCATTTTCCTGATTCCCCACCTGGTCATCCTCTTCGCCCCACCAGGCAAATTTCTTCCCCTCCATTTTTCCCTCAAGTGAGTAATTTTTTGTTGCTGACTTGCAGATTTGCATGTGATGATCTAAATTGAACTTGATTCTCATCTTCTACTTTGTTATGATGTTAGTGTTAAAAGCATTTTTTTCTGGAGCAATGAAGCTACATTTATGCATCAAGTAAAACCATGTTAATCCTGCAATGGTCAACACTGTACTCAAGCTTTTATATTTGGTTCTACAGTGACAAATATTTGAGTTAAGCCCTTGAACATTAAATCTTTAGCCATGTTAATTTATGCAGTTTCAAGGGTTAGTCAAGAAAGTCACAAATTTTATACAGGGATATTTTGTTGTATGAGTAGTGACAATGAGTAGCAACAAGTTCTTCTATTAGTGGGACATTTCAACCCTGCATCTCCATTTCATTCTTCTATTGAATGGTATCTGTTATCCTCCAATGAACCTTTGTGATCAAGTAAACTTTCTCTGTGTTTGTCAGGTCCCTGCAATCTACCGGAGGAGTTTTGAAGACAGCGATCTGTTGTCCAGTACTCGACAAGTGCAGCAGGCTCAACAGGTTGTCTCATGTGGAGGTGGGACGCTTCCTCGCCCAGCTGGAATCAATGGAAAGCAACGTCCTGTGGCAAAGATTACAGCTAAGGTCAGAGATGACCTCTTGCCTCCTCCACCTCCACCCCCACCCCCTCCATCGTGCCATTCCCCACCTATCCCTGAGGATAAGGGATTTCCTCCCTTGCCTCCTGCTCATCTTCTTAGTCCACCTTCGACTGATGGAAGCAAGTCTTCCTTCCGGCCAAGGCGACAGGACTCGAGCTGTAGTGTCAAGGTTTGTGAGTCATTATTCATGAATGTGATGCAAAGTCATTCATCACTCACTTCAGTCATGTGTACTAGGGATGGCCCAAAATAGATACCAAATATTGGGTGAAAATTAGTTGCCCACATCTCTGATCTACCAATGCAGCTTATACTTTTAGTTTCATTATGGGAAGTCACAAGTCTATCTCCAGGTCAGCATTCAGGAGGGGAATACAATAGCCTCTGTCTCAACTTTCAGCTATCCAGAGAAACTAAGAGAAAATAATCAGAATCAGTGGCTGAAATGCAATGATCTTTGAAGCTCCTCTCAAGCTCCTATTAAGTGAATAACTGGTTCAAACTTGGTGTACCTTGTACAAGTGTGGTACACTTCTTCCTTTTAGTTCCCCTCCCCCATGAACACTTGGATATATTGTTATAAGCCGATATTGGAAGTTAGGTCAGTGTTGGTATTGGTCATACCTCAATTGGTGCAAACCTAGTGTCTCCTAATTTATTTAATATTTTACTTTTATTGATTGAAATGCAGTCTACATCAAGTACTGAGTCTGACTCCCTCCCATTTGCCAATGAGGATGCAGGGACCATCAAACAGAGGTCTAGACATCAGCAGCAACAACAACAACCAAGCCAACAAGACAGCCCTTCAGGTTTGCCACAGCTTCATCATATGTAAACATTTTTTCAAGGCAGTAGACTAAGGTCTGATGATGTGTTTCAGGTGGTGCTACTGCATTTTGGGGAAGTTCACCAAAGCAGAAGCCAAGATCGGCAGATGATGGGTCAGGGGATGTCCTCAACGACATTGGGAACATGCTGGCTGACCTCACTGATGAGCTAGATGCCATGCTCCAACAAGAGAATCAGAATACAGCCAGATATTGACACTAAAGCATAGTGGTACAAACAAAATTTTCCTGCTGTTTGCTCAGGCAGGCCTCTTGTTTGTTGGTCAGTGCAGTATGTGCTCAAAGACAGAATGGGGTTGCTTGGTGAGTAGGTACACCATGCTCTATCCTCCCTTTGAGGCTATGACATGTTCCTAGTCTCTTTTCCAGGCTAACATTCATGAGCTTTCTCATCATTTGGCAATAACTTGGTGGTTGGAAAGTTTTTTTTATATTAGGGACACCCCATCAGTATTCTGTGGTTAAGGGAAGTCTGTGTTTTTAGTTTCTGTGTGACCAGTAATGACTCATGCTGTTTTTTGATACCCTCTCAGGATCCTCCTGACGTAGGAGAGCAACTAAGTAAAATCAATTAAGAGGAGACATGGCAGAGTGAGGAAGTTCCTTGTTTTCTCTGTATTTGAGAACACAAGTTGCAGCTTTAAAATTGTTCACATCAGTATCATGATCCTAAACTTGTGGGGTTTCCCTCCTTAGTACAGATGTCTCTTTGATTCGAGTGCCATCAAGTGGCAGCTCTGACGTTGAAATAATTCGGGTTCTTGTGATAGTGAATTTCTGACAAAAACACTCTTATTTTTGAGAAGTATTGATTTTTGAAAGCAGGAAGCATAGAAGGAAATATTTGTTGCTGTCATTTAAGTTGGCAGTTGTTTGCTATGGAGTAGTATTGTATAAGTTTATTTTGTGGGTACATATTTTATGTACTCATTTGATGCAATGCTGGCACAGGAGCCATTATGAATGGTAAATGTGCCAATGGGCTTATTTGCTTTGAGAGTGAACAATTACAAGAGGTCTTTCGTTGCATGGCTTTAGTTCTCTTGCAATCGAGCAGCATTTTTGGAGTTTGATTTTTTTTCCTTTTCTGACTTACCCTTTTGTTCCGATTGGCTGATTGCATTCCAGGAGACAGCACATAATAGAGTATTATTGTCTAATTGTGTGCATTGGATGATGTGATAATTATTTTTAAAAACAAAGCTCTCCTGTACTGCTACTCCTCCTCTTCCTTCTCCTTCTCCTCAGCCATAGAATACCTCTATGGAATGGTGATGAGAAATGAACTTTGTTCAGGACAATGGTAAAGGGCATTTCATTTCATTCACAACAGGTCAACAATATCTTGAGGGCAGAGCAAGGAGAGAAATACAACAACAGAGAAAAGAAAAATGTGCAAATTATTATCTGGCAGTAATAAGTTGCAAAAGAGAAAGGATATGCCAACATGCATACATACACTATTCCTCTTAGGAATAGATACAAAGATGATTTTGCAATAATTGTCATAAAATCACACCAAGGAGGGAGGAGTAAGAAGAAAAAAGCACAAACTTAGAGACAGATAAATGATGCATGGTGGAAGATGCTTTCTTCTCTTTTTCACAGAACACAACAACGGTGCTTCTTCTTGCTCTTCGTCTTCTTTTCAGGTGATTTGCGATTTATCTGCTGAACTAGATTGTAGAAAATCTATATATAAAAAAAAGGAATGAATTACTGATGTGATGGCATTATGAGGATAGATGCTGAGAAAAGAGAGTTGTCAACCTCTGTGACATTGATCTTGGATTTAGCAGATGACTCGAGGAAAGCACAGTTCCAGGAACGAGCCAGGTTCATGCCCTGGTCCTTGCCCACCACCCTCTCGTCCTCGAGGTCTGACTTGTTCCCCACCAATATCATGGGTACATCCTCAGTGTCCTGCAGGAATCTTGATTCAGCATCACATTCCATAGAACAATAATATTTAAAATTTAGAGTAACAGCTACCTTGACACGTAGGATCTGCTCCCTCAGATCTTGGAGATCATTGAAGGTTGATTGTGCTGTTATGGAGTATACTAGTACAAATCCCTGTCCATTTTTCATGTACAGGTCCCTCATGGCAGTGAATTGTTCCTATGACAAAGAAGACACGAGAAGGGAAATGTTACATTCCTCCAATTTCTCAAGAATTTATAGAAGCACTGAAATCAGTTTTTAAGGAATCCACTGAACAAGCAACCAGTACAGCCATATTACTACTATTAAACTAATCAGAATAGAGCAGAGGATAATATACCAGGTGAGTGCTTCACTCCTGGATCAAGAAATGACAAACTCCCCTAAATGCATTATGGGAAGAGGGACTACTTGGAACACCAAGTTGGAAGAACTTTTGAGGTAAAATTGGGGAAGAGCTACCCATAAAAAAGTTATGTAATCCATACGAATTTCACGTTAAGCAAACTTGCAAATACTTAGGTTCTACCATTGAGCACATTGATAATGTGCATTAAAATGGTAATGGAAGCTGTTGCTATTGGATATGCAGGCAAGCAACCGAGCCTGTATTCTTTTTTTATTGGTCAATAATCTTCCTTATGGGTCATCCAATAAATCAATTTATTCTCTCATCTTAATTCATCAATCATCAGGCATTTATGAAAATATCAAACCCTGCATATGGTATATCAAGAAAACATTAACATTTGGTGTGGTAGGGTTCTAAAGGGTGTCCCAGAATTAGGAAACAAGCTTAAATGTTTATAATTCGGCTATGAAACAACCTACATACATGGTTTAGGGCTAGTTTTAATTTATATTCAATGACCTTTATTTGAGAATATCTCACAATTTTAACACCAACAGCCTCAGCCATTCAAACAACTTCCTTGCCATTCAGCTCCAAGCAGAGCTCAAGATAGCACCTCTCATAGCAACCAACTTTCACACAGCTTTCACAACTTTCGCTCTCAATCAAGGTTGCTCATGACCTGTCTGATTTTTTATTTGAATTTGGCAAGAGTCCTTGGTTTTGCAGTACAAATCCTTCCTCCACAAATCCCCACAATAGTAAGTTCATTGGTGTCAAATCACTCTATCATAGAGGCCACTCACAATGTCACTTTTTCCCAGCCAGCACTTAAATTCAATTTTAAAAATCAGATTGGATTCAATTGAAATATTCTTCAAGCCATTGCCTCACGGTGTGTTTGTACCACCACTCCAGATGCCGACCCAAACCATGACAACCGAGCTCAGTGGAGCCTCTGGTGTAGCACGAGGATTATAGTAGCTCCATATGGTGCAGTTGTGCCTGTTCACCTGCCATTCAGATGAAACAAGCTTTCATAACTCCACAAGATGTTGCCTTGTAGAGGGTTTGGATAGACTTAGTTGAGCTGCATCTCACAGAACTCCTTTTGCTGGTTATAATCATCTTCATTCACACCAATTATACCATCCATAAATAATAATAATAATAATAATAAGGCCTTCATTTCAAATCATGTAAATTGTGAGAAACAGTTGAACCATTGAGGGAAAGTTTAGCAACAGCGTGTTTGATGGTCTTTCTGGAGCTGCATGCTAAAGATAAGTGCTCTCTTCTGCACAGAACATATATTTTTCTACCTGAACATGACAGATCATGGATACTCAGTCTGGTCAAAGCAATGGTTCAGTAGGACAGTTTTCCTTGAAAAGAGGCTTCTTGTTGAAATCTTTTGGTGGCATTTTGTACAAGTGTAAAAGTGAGCAAACCAGACAGGTTCCTTACTACTTAAACAATACACAATCTTTTTGGAGCAAGTGGAGCATTATAGGTATTGAAGAGAATTATATGATGCATAACTTGAAGTTGATACCATTGCTCTATGTTGCATGGTTATAAAACTGTAGAAACATTTAAAATTTTCTTCTTAATTCTGGGACATCCTGTATTCCTGGTAAGTTGGACTTCCAGTTGGGCATATCTGAGGTGGTTACTATTGAATGTGGTGGAATTGTACAAAGAGTGGCTGAGTGCTGATTCTTCAAGATAGAATCTAAAATGGCTGGTATATTTGAGCTACAGCTCAAAATAGCTCAAGCCCAAGTACAATATGTGATTATTTTGCTTTCAGAGGAAATTCTGGGTATATGTACATAATTTCCATGTGAGTGCCATATATATGAATGTTATGGTCAAAGAGGGGCTTTCTTGAGAGATGATGTTGACATACAAATTTTTATGGTATGGAATAGCAGGGAAATGTCAAAATTCTGAGTTTTACAAAGAGGGGCTTGCATGATTCCCTACTCTGAAAAATTATAGGAGTTTGAATAGCTCTTTTTGTAGATGAAGTACCTTAAAAGACTTTGGCTATTACTGATTAATCCTCAAGCCAATATTCCAAATTCCAGAGAAGAAAGATGATGGCCAGGCTTTTGGGAAGCCTCTAATTCCATAAAATTCCAATTTTCTGAGGAATTTAAGGTTGATACTACGGCCAAAATATAGATAACTCAACAGAAGCCTTTTTTTATGCAAGACAATCATTTAGCCATGTTTTACTTGACTTGGAAAGATTCTACCTGTAAAGGAACAGTCAATTATGTGAGTAAATAGTGGAACTATGATAGGGGCTACTGCTTTGACAACAGGTAGGTAGTTCATCTAGACCAACTGATTTCTTGTTGCAAAGGACTCAGGCAAAACGGAATTGTAGCAAGCTAAATGTTTAAAACTTGGTATGTCATTGAAATTTGACAATATTCAATAAGACAAATCTGGCATACATCTATGACAGTCAAGCATTTGAAATCAGACTCACGGTGCCTGCAGTATCAAGGATTTCCAACATGCACTGCTGTCCGTCGACCTCGACTTGTTTCCTGTACGAGTCCTCAATCGTTGGATCATATTTTTCCACAAAAATGCCCTGGACAAACTGGACTGTCAGAGCTGACTTTCCCACACCTCCGCTCCCAAGAACAACGATCTTATATTCACGCATCTCGAGTCTCGGACTGAGAGCGCTAGGTCTTTTCCGTCCACCAAACTGGAAGAAATATCAAATATATTGAATTAAAAAACACCTTAGCCTGTCACATTCACACGATGCAAAATATAGTCTCAAGGAATGGGACCTAGGCCTAGGCCTAGAGAGACAGTCCCTTGAAGAGAAATTAAATTCCAGCAAGGGGTGGAAGGCAGCCATGAACGCGTCCACTGTCATGGCCGCTCCATTGAATGTGTCAAATACAAAATTCGTGTCTCAGAAACTCCCAACCGATTGCAATGGGGCTTAGATCTTGTACATCCGCGTTTCAAATTGAATATTTTTATATAATCTAGTTATTTAAAACAAGAGTTCATCGAAGTTTCTGATATCTCCATATTAGAACGGATGTTATTTGACATCCCTGGTTGAAGCACGTGGGCGTAGGGACGTGGACAGTTTAGTTGATCACAGTTATAGTGGCCAGGTTCTGCATCGCAGCACCGATAGCAGATTGCAGCGGAGAGCAGAATAGTGGACCCGGTTCGCACGCGAAGCACAAGTAAGAGGCAAAGGAGACACTAAACGATCGTATGCAGTGCCGTAACAAGGGGTGTGCGAACGGTACCCACTCACAGCGCGCCAATTGGCAGCCGAAATAATACAAAAATACTATTAAAAATTTACGAATTCATCGTAATTACTTGAAACGAAACGATACAAATACTACGTTAATTTTTCCTTTCAGATGAGAAGTGCGACCCCTATTTCTGATTTTCCAATACGAAATGAAATTTTGACCCCCCCCCCCCCCATCTCCATTAAGCATTTTCTACAATGAACGTCCATTAAAAGTAAAAAATTGACCACAAAAAATTTTTAGCTGAAGCAGAAGGGGCAGTTATCCGAAAAAAAAACATGTTGCGCGTAATCGAGGAAAATGCAACCTTTACAATGCCCAAAAACTTCGCCGTGATTGAGAAATTTTCGTTAGTGAATATGAATCTGTTACTCGACTGTTATACTTCCATACTGTCATATATGAGTTTTCATGTTTAAATGCATTGTTCTCCATAATATAATGATTTGTAAAAGTACTGTGTATGATGTAAGTACAAGATGATTGCATGCTTCAGAATGTTGACAAGATGGTCAGTAAGTTGAAGTCAGAAGTCGCAGACATTTTTTTCAAGCAAATTTTTCCCTTAAAACTTCATATTAATTTGCTAATTTTTCTACTTTTGCTTTTGCCTGTGAATGGATGTTCTTCTAATTGTTGTGTACATCTAATTGCAAATAGAAATCCTATTTGCAATATTCTGAATTTAAATATATTGGGCATACAAATTATAGATGTATTTTTGTATAAAGTTAATACAAAATGTATTGTTGGTGTTTGGGAAACTTGATGGGTGGGAGGCGCTGGATCTCGCACAGGGCGCCGAAAACCCTCGGTACGGGTCTGATTGTATGGTTATCTGAAGAGAGCGTTGAGGTGTCGTCACCGGGCGTTTCCTTGACGTTTGGCACCTCCAGTTGCGTTACAGCCGATTCAGCTTTAGTTTCGGAGAACGCAGAAAAGAATATGATATTATATTAATTTTGAGTTGAATTCGTAACCACGAAACCCGTCCCCAGGGTGCGCTTTCATCGATTAAAGCCTTCCAAGCCTCCAGCCTCCCAAACACTGGAGTTTGCACCCAGAAATAAATACCGGACTTGGTTGGTGTATAATCTATGTCTTCAGCAACAGGAGCCAACAAGTGACCAAACGAGCCACTAACTTATTTTTGCATTTTCAGTAGGGTTGGGCTCAGGGGCGGATACAGGAGGGGGGCGGCCGCCCCCCCATGGCCAGGTTACCATTCTATTTTTTCCTGCTTTTTTTAAAATAGCTTCTACATTAATTTTTATTGGGACCAATGAAATCAATGAAATGGATATTCAAGTTTTTACCCCAGACGAGAAATGAAAAAGGCGATAGAGCTGGGAGTGGTGGAAGGCGGGGGGGGGGGGGGGTCGGTAGAAAGTAGGGAACTATGGAAATTTTCTGTATCCGCCTCTGGTTGGACTTGATGAGAAAAAAGCAAGATCTTGTCAAGATACAGCTACGTCACAACCAGGCAAAATGAGGGGAGACGGGCGTTTCTAGACATGTTGGCGCTCAAGACAAGGAGTTTCAATGGCGCCCCGCTTCACCCGCCCCTAGAAACGGCCCTGAGGGGAGGGAAAAAAAAAACTAGTTTATCCACATTTGACTGGGCGTTAAGGGTAGAGGATATCTTAAGACTTTGCAAGAAATGAAATTCAAGATCTTGGCAAGCGTCTTGTTTGAAACCCAACCCTAATTTTCAGGAAATAGAGAAGAGAAAGCAACCCTACCTAATTTGGACAAACTGATCAAAATATAACCTGGAAAACTGCTTTGATAGTCCAACTATGAAAAACAAAAATGGCTTTAATGCGTTTTTTCGTGTCACCTGACGTTGTTCCCGTTAACTCCTGTGAAATGTGTATGAAGAACGGCTGAGTATAGTAAGAATATTATTAAAAGAATCATTATGCAGCATGGTCTTTTCCTGTCTCTTTAATTCACATCCCTCGAATGCAAAATCTTCGATATCGGTATACTCCATTCGTTCGAGATCTTCGAGTCTAGAGCTTCGTCCATCCGGAACAATATCATCAAAGATCTGGAAGTACTTCGTTGGGAATCGTTTAGTATTTTCTTGTGCTTGAGGCGACCGAAGCTGCAGACCGATCTGTAAAAATAACTACCTAACCGATTCGGCAAGTGAAGTTCTGATGAATTCGTCTCCCACCATTGAGGTGTATCGTTACGGAGTTTCAACTATTGATCCAGCACCGGAAGAGTTACAGAGCGCATTTCCAAGGCACAAAAACAGTCTCGAGTGCGATGTTTCTAATATATAGGGTATCCCATAAGTCACTATACCATTTCAAAAATTCACATCTGCTAAACAGTTGGCAAAAAAAAAAGAAATAACATCAACTTAACGATAGCATATCATTTTGAATTATCTTTTGTCAAAATGGAGGTATTTTTTGGACTCGGATGGGACTCTCAAAAACCTCCGTTCCAGGTAGCAACGAAGGAACGTTGCTCGAGCGTCAATTGTGATGCTTTTTCTCGTTACAGCAAAAGCAAATTAAAGGAAATGAATAAATAAAAAAATTGTTTCTCAGGTCTGTCTGGAATTAGGGGGAAAAACATGAAGTTTGGGAATTTTTGTAAAAGAGGATTCAAGAATGTGTACCATAAATAGCCCTAAAAACGTACACCTTTCTGACATGCTTTTGAAGGAACTTCTCTTTGAGTCCGATTCCAAGTCATTATTATAATTTAAAAAATATATTAAAGAACGTTCTTTCCATCGATGCTAAGAAAATTGACCTGGCTGTTGTAGTTTAGAAAATATTGCAGTTTGAAGTGGTATAATGACTTATGGGACACCCTGTAATGCAGGGCTTATGGAAGCGTTTAGACGGAAAACGACGACTTCATCAGAGGATGGGCTTAAATCCTATTCCCAAGAGAATGCCTGTGTCAAGGAAACGTAAATAAATGAGACTCGAGCGAGAGTCAAAACAGGAACGCAGTCACACCAATCACCTGCAAAGAGAAAGAAAGCCGAACTCGTCTGACTTGCAGTAGCAACGGAATGTGGGCACAGAATACAACAGATGAGGCGAGACGAGTGAGGGGGATGAGTGAAGCCCGAGCCAGACCGAGAACAAGTCCAAGAAAGGTGGAGCCTACGCGCAGCTCACAATTCAGCACCTTCAAAGTACGGAATAGGGTATGAATTCCGCAAATTGGGCCTGACGCTGTAATATCAATATGCACGGGATAGACAAAGACAATCATCTTGAAGAGGGTGAAGAGAGGTACACTCAGGATTTTAATGATTGAATTATGACGTCAAAAGGCCTTTCCTGCCCATATTGATATTACGAGTCAAGTTTCCCCTCTAATTTTACCTTTCCGATCACCGTTTACCTAACAGGGACATTGCAAGTCCTGTTTTTAATCAATTTAAAGATATCGCAGTTGATTCATTCACGGGTCACTTGTATTGAAGCATAGGATTCAGCCAGATATGGCCACAAACAATAGCAACCATCTTTAGCAAAGAGGCCAAAAATCGCGACTGAAAGGATTCAGATAGCTTTCCCCTTCAAACGTAGATATATTTGTGGTCACGCATGATTCTTTTGTCTCGTAACAGCTACAGTGCACCCGTTTTTTTTTTTTTGCTCATGAGGGCATCTAGCCTCTTTATAGAGTTTCTTACCGATGATGCAAGAGATGCTACTTCATCTAACGTGTTTAACGCAGGTACAGAAGTAATTTACGTATAAACATGAGTTGAGGCTTCAACTGGTTCCCCTTCGTTCTGTTGCTACACAGCAAAGCAGAAACGTACAGTGAGGTAAAAACGTATGTCGTAAAATACGTTCGTTGAAAAGGTACCGAAACAAAATACGGTACACATGTGTACCCTTCTTATCTCTATTCAGAAGGTACGGATGGGGCCTTTTCTTTAGGATCCCACGTGTACCTCATTTCGGGCCTAAGGGCGTTTGAAAATCCTGCACATTAACCTCAAATTTCAGCTTTGAGGAGCTTTGAAGTGAGCTTATATGACACCGTCATCCGGCACCACGTCTCCGACAGTCGGCACACAGTCATAGATAAGACGATGACAGCTAGACAAGGTCTCCACGACGTAACAGGACGTCCTGACTGTCTCATATGCAGTGCCTTCTCCAGTTACCATGGAGCAAGGCCGTATTTAGAGGGGGGGGATTCATGGGGTTCAACCCATGAATTTCCCATTCAACCCACCCCCAAAATTTATTCCTTAAATTTTTGCCATACCGCTATTCATCGGTGTAAACAGAGCAGTACTTGGTCTCTCCTATCTTTAATAGCATATGACTTATTAAACACTGCAACTTTCAGGAAAATCCAGATATGTCAAAAAGACTTACAATGACAAGCATAAAAAATAGCCACGGCGCATACGCCAGACCTCACCCCCCCCCCCCCCCGAAATGAAATCCTAGATACGGCCCTGCCATGGAGACATTAGGTAGCAAGTCCAAATCTTTCAAGTTTGTTGAAAGTTGGTCGCTCTTTCGTTCGAGAGTAAAAACTCCTAGCCTGTCAGTTTACACTTCGCTATCCTGGTGCAAAATTCCAGCATTAAAAATGTTTCAGAATCATTGATTGCCGTTGAAACATGATAATTATGCTTTTACCAAATACTACTTTACAAGTATCAAGATGAGATAAATAGAGGGAAAGGAAGAAAACTCTTCTCCTAAGGTTCGGTGCGTCCTGACTTGAGGTAGAATGTTCGGGGGAACATAAACGCCATATTATGCCAAATTTGAGTATTGCATTTGGAACCCGGACATCTGCGTCTGCAACGTACTCATGTGTACGTCTGGACCACATCCGCTCAAAAGTACGTACGGAGGCACACATGCGGACCCGAAGGACACAAATATGTACGTCTCACATTTGTACCTCTCCTTGTACGTTTCTACTTAGCTGTGTACCATCGAATTGAAAAACCTACCACACTCCCAAGTTATCGATGACCATAATGATCTTCGACACCTGGATGAAGTCCCTCCTCGTTGGTCTTTTTCTCCAGTGAATGCAGTTCGGATGCGTCTGAATGCCTCAGGTATTCTACTCCCCGTACCTCTTTATTATTCTAGTAGCTCGCCTCTAAACCGCCTCCAGTACCATTAAATCCCATTCATATGTAGCCACTAAGATTGAAAACTACGTTCTAAGTGGAGCCTTACCGATGGCGCATACAACGGAAGAATAGCGCTCATTAGTAATTGAATGCCCGGTGAAGACTGAATATTGTGTGACATTTAGCCGCGGATTGCCTGCGCGTGCTCGGAAAACTTGAGTCAAATGGACTCTGAAACTCAGATGATCCCTAAAAAACTCAGATGATCCCTATATCTTTCATTCCGCTCCCCTAGTCAGTCTTCGCCAAACGCATTCGGAGAGCTGTCGTAATTATGACCGGTGTGAATAATCTCATATTTACTCTCATTGAACTAGGGTGCGAAAAACCACCCGGTGACCCTGTTCCAGCAGAAAATTTCACATAATTCCTTTCGCTTTAATTGTGTGAAAACTTCGAAGCCTATGTCAACAAATGAGGCACTGATGGTCTCTCCTCAAGGCATGGTTTCCTTTTTCATGGACTACCATGAACTGACAATCCACAAGAAAGTACTAGTTATTTAAAGCACACAGGTTGATGTAGAATAAAAACGACTCGTTGGATTTTGAAAATAGAAACTTGTAGTGTTTCTATTTTGCGGGTCTCATATGGATACTTCAGTTTATCATTCTGATAAAATACAAAATTACCAATTGCTTGATGACAACTGAGCTATGGATCACTTGTGTCTTCGTGGAGGTATGGTTTTCGAAGTACGGATACACGTACTTCTTATTTGAAGCACTCTGATGAAGCAGAGTACGTGGCGGATTCAGATATAAGAAGCACCTACAAGCTGGACACATGACAAAGTCGGAACTCCTTTTGCTGGGTGTGCTGCAAAATACTCGATGCCAAGCCAAACTGACATGATTTGCCACGAAATTGAGAAAAAGTGCTTCCCACGTTTGCCCTGTACGCTACCAACCGAATACCATCTCTAAAAGTCCTGATACACGAGGCAAGTTTTTGCTAGCAAGTCCCAGCAAGTGCTTGTCCACTTCCAGCAAGTCCACTTTCCCCTCAGTTCAAAATCCTAGAAGGCTTGTAAGCAAGTCGCGCTCTGATTGGTCGGGAAGACCCTGTAGGAACCGATTGGGGTGAAGCTCCGGGTGTCCCTCGCACTTGGTAGGAGCAGTGCTCTGGTCTTTGTTTCTTAATGAAAATTGTTTGCATATTGGCCTCGTGTATTGGGGCCTTAAAGGTCGACGGATGAGAGAGAAACTTAGTGTCAGGGAATCGACAACGACTCGTTGCATGTCACACCCTTGAGGAACTGCTTTCGATATCTCTATGTTAGTGTACCGCGAAGAATCCACTTGGAGGAGACGCACCTCCCCTGACATATACGGGCGATATGGACATACGATTTGGAAAGATCGCCGAGTCGAGGAGCGAGAGACAGTCGCAAACCGACAAAAGGAGGATTTTGCCTTGGGAAACATCCATCTAGCCTAGAGGCTTGCATCGAAAAGCGTGTCTTAGTGGCCGCTTCCACAAAGTTTGTTCTTCGGCACAATCGAAAGGGGATCGGCCGACTCTCACTATGTCTGAGTGAGCTGAATTCTCATTGAATTCAGCTCTTGATTGTAAGTCCGTCAAAATGAAGATTGTGATGCAGGCGTAATAATGCTCTGCAAAGCTAATCATCACTGCTAATTAGCTAAAGAAGCATAATTTAGTTAGGTGTTCTCATGTCAACCCTTACAACTAGGTCCAACACCTCTCTGATAACTTCCCTTGACTTCTCATTACGTAGTCTAACCATGAAAATCTTGGATCATCGGCCAATCAGCGCGACCTTATGCCCTAATATGCCCTGTGGACAAAAGAGGGGAGCCTTATCTTTTGCATTCTGTGGCCCGCGTCGAGTCACACATTTCCATGCGGCCCACTGCCGATAAAGGTTGCACACCCTGGTTTAAGGGTTAGAACCCCTCCTTTGGGCTCCCCGGTCAGTGACACTGACAGGCATATTTCCACCTTCCTTAGGAATTCCAATTTTAGATATCCGCCCTCGAGGAAAGTCCAATGTCTGTCCACAGACCCAAGATGCCAGACCACGATTTCTTCGAAAAGGTAAATTCCGGGTAGTGGAGCTAGACGTAGGGTTGGAGTGTATACCTGGCCTCAACCCCCCCCCCCCTTCTGCCGATTTCCTGTCTATACCATTGATCGTATGAGACGTGACCTACCATATGACCTGGAACCTACCACAGCACTTTGAGTATGAGGTGTGATCTAACGTGTAGGGTGGTGTCTCACACAACGCTGCAGCGACAATACTATGTACATGACAATACATGACAGACATATTGGGGGTTGTCTTGGGAGGGGGGTCTACCTGGACTCAACCCCCCCCCCTCTCCCCAAATACGCCTGTCAGTGTCAGTGAACGGGAAACTCATTGGTGGGGTCACGTGCATATTGGGGTATACAGAGGCGCGTTGCTCTATCGGCACCAATACTTGTCACGATGCGAAGCCGAGATTTTTACTCAATAATCGGTGGTGAAGAGAGCGCAGTTAACTGGCTTCAAGAACAGGGCATTTCGAAAGATCAAGAAAATGCACGGGACGACGCTCAAGCTGCTGCCAAGGCACCTCGTTGTAGTCTATTGGCGTGGCCTTAACCCTATGAACAACAGGTTTGAGGCATTCATTCGGGACACCATGGCTACGTTCGTCGATAAATCTAATGTGAAACCTGACGATAGTCAAATGCTGAAATTTGCAAGCGTACATGGCATTGGATAATTAAATCGTGTTTTAAAAAAGGGTGTATTTTAGACCACGCAAACTGTAGGTCACACCTCATACGATAACCGTTGTAGATAATATTCCTGTGAGGCATTGGTAGTGGACCTATGCAAGAGATTAAGGGATTGGACTTGGGGGTAAAAAAAATATAAAAAATGGAGGAAAAGAGAAAAATAAATCTCCCGTGGAAACAGTTTTTTAGCAGATAGAACAGAAAACAATGTATCATAGAGGCACTTCTATACGACGGAGACGAACTTCTCATCGACTCTCGAGTATTACTCATTACGGAATCGCTGGATGAGGGAATCCCCATGCGAAAAGTAGGGGAAGAGGAGGGGGAGAGGGGGATCCATTACTGTCGAGAGAAGGCGTATAAACAAAGTATGCCCGAGTTCTTCAAAGTCATTCAAACCGAGCAAATAATGTCGGAGCAAAGAAAGTAGGACAGCCATGGGTCAGTGCACTCACCTTGAGTTCTTCCAGAGAACACAAAGACGGGACGAAGTCCGGGATATTGACTGAAGGGAAAGAGACGATGGATAGCGATCGGGGTGGAACCTGTCGATCGAGAGACTTCCACCCACTTTACTCGTCGCCGCTGGCAGTTCCAAGCGTCTCCATGCCGGGAGACATTCGACGAATGGGCAAGGTTACGGTTTCTACACCGGCAACGGTTTCGCATCGACTCTTCACTCGGACGTATCCCGGGAAGGACAGGGTAGGACATGATTTGTGACTCATGATTTGAGTCTCAATTGAGTTCGCGGAATTCCGTCCGGAAACGATGGTGGAACGGGATGACGAGAACGGGAATTGATATTAGGCCACGCCCACATCCGGTCGTGGCTTGGTTTCCATCCTAGACAGCCTTCCTTAGAAAATCAAATCTAAGGACTGCTCCTTAACCCTTTCAGACTCAGTCGGTTGGAGCCAACTACGAAAGTGCCAGTCTAATTGTGTGCAGCTGACATTCTCATATTACTGATGTTAGCAGCGTCGACCTATCGCATAGTTTGCTAGCACTTTGATCTTGACTACAATCAACATTTAGCCTGGGAGCAGCGGCGTAGCGTCGGGGGGGCACGTGCCCCCCCCCCCCCCCCGACTTTTCAAGAAAAGAGGCCAATAAGACATGCACGATAACAGTATCTCGTTCCAGTGCCCCTCCCAACTTTGTCCTGTCCCTTCGCAATAATGTGGCCAAAAATTTAGTTAATTTATGCTTTTTTATATCAAATATAGCCACTTAATCCCTAAATTAAACTTTTTTTAAAACTGTGCTTATGTTGCTTCAAATAGTTAAAGAATAACGAGATTCGAATAAGCTTGAGAGAAAGCAATCATCCAAACGGTTCCTTGGAAAGGCTCTATGTTTTTTGTGAGTCCCTTCGATCTCACCCGTCGCCTCTTCGAGTTGATTGCTTATTTTTTTCGCATTCATTTCCTTTCTTCCGCATACCCGCATCGATGATTTGGAGCGGCTCGAGATGGGTCGAAACGACGCATTCGTGGGGAGGAGTTCGTTGAACGGCGGAAAGAAAATAGGCCATCACGAAGACGATCTCCTGCTGATGAATACACCGACTGGGCCCAGGGGACGGGGAGCATTTGTGTACCAAACAGCGGGAAACGGTTCCCATGAAGGATGGGAGGTCCCTTCAACCATCGTGGGTTGAAGGGACCTCCCTTCTTTGTCCCTTCGGAGGGGAAGAAGGGCCACCCGTGGCACTCGAATTTCGAATCCAACGAGAATTTTCTTCACCATACCGAGAATTAATCATTGAATGAATAATTAGTCCCTAACGAATGATCATTCATCATGGAAGCTCATTTTGAGCCAAGCATGATTCATGAATTGCACGTGGCAGGGCTCGAGCCCGAATGGATCGCAGCGATGTCTCTTGGAAACGCAACGTTGATAATTTATCTCATTGAGTTCCGTGTCCCTTCCTGTTGTCGGGACGTCCGATTTCCACACCTGGAGTCGGATCATCGGGACAAATCCTTTATTCATTCTCAGAGGCGGAACGACCCGAAGTCTCATGGGTTTGGGTTGCCTCCCTGCTTAATAATCCCGGCTGGAAAAAAAAAAACAGCTATGATTTCCAGTTGGACCCAGCTGTAAATTCGGATCCATTCCAACTAGGTAACAGCTGTAAACTAAAGTCACATCCAGATTGGTTCCTCATTGCAATATTACAAGTGAAATAAGAATGTTTCGGTTTGGCTATTGTCGCCGGAGGCCCATCTGATGCAGATGAATTTCAGTTGTAAATTCAGCTGTATTCCAGTTGGAGAGCCCTCTATAAAATTCTAACTGGAAATTTCCAGCTGGAAAAATCTATTAAAACCAGCTGCAATCCAGTTGAAATATTCCAGCTGCGAAACAACCCGTATTTAATATTTTCCAGTTCTTTGCCAGCTGGAAATGGTCCCCATTTACAGCTTTGGATAAGCCGGGAATTTCCAGTTGGGATATTAAACCGGACGGAATTTAAATTGTATCGGCGAATTAGGCGCCACCTCACTTTTATTGAGAGAACCTTGTTTCCACGAATCACTGCCAGATGACTCTGCGACTCCGATGCAACATCGCGTATCGAGCAACTCACCTGCACTCTTAGAAAATCCCCAGCGTTTAGGGAATAAAAACTGAGCACTATGTGAGCTATTTCAAATGTACTCTCTTATTACTCACAAAATGCTTCCTCATCGCTCGTAGTGAAGTGAGCATCTTGAAGTTCTTCGCCAGGTCACTAGATGGAGGTAATGGTATCGCTTTTTGCACAGTACACAAAAGTTCCCTTTTCTCTCTTTCTCTGGAATCGTCCCTCGCAGGATTCTTTTGTACTTCGACTTATGTCTCGTCCAGTTTCATTATAGGAATCAATAAACACGGACTCTCCATCATTTGTTATCCACATATTCAATACAGATTCATAGAGCCCAGGCCATAAACAAGTTCTTATTCCTGATGAGAACCCTTTTGAAAGTTGAAAGTGTTTCATCCGCTGAGAAAACCTGATAATACAAAGGTAGCGTCCATGATTTCAATCCTATCACTTCCTCAACTTGATGAGAGAGTGAGGAAGTGAAGGACTGATAGCGCGGACACTTCATGGAACCGTAAGCGGTGGTCCACGGTCTGACATGTACTGTAATCAGTACAGTCAAAGGTAGGTCAATGCCTGTACTGTAGCGAGCGGATGCAACATAATGTATATATGAGGATTTGTGTATTTGCATGACATCCCTATCTCTTAGGGGAGCGTTTTACTCATGGAGGAGAGCAATTTTACTCATTCGTGATGGATCAAATTTTCTCCTTTCCCAGAGTGAAAGGGGAGTGAAACTGGAGTTAGCGATTTTACTCTCTTTTTTGAGAAAAATCGCTCCCCTTTTTCTAAGAGTGTGGAACCACAGCACGAATACATTGTCCTTGCCGTATCAAGGCCTGTCTCATTTTCAGCGAGTCAATGTCGGCTATGTGCATCGGACCATCGACAATCGACATCCCATTACATCGTCAACCAATTATCGACGCCAAGATAATTGCACTGCCGGCAAAGGAAGACCTAGAACGAGCGAAACCAAACTCTGAGGCACCGAGATAGGCAAATGATGGATTACTCACCGATACCTGTCGTCCCGGTGACGTGATACAATCATGCGAACGCACCGCAGTTGTTTGCCCTTTCTGGTCGGGAGCTGCCAAACGACCCTTTATGCTTTTCCTTATCACGCCACCGGAATGCCAGATATCGGAGAGTGATTCATCGTTTGCATGCCTCGACGTCTCCAATAAATGGCTTAAGTTTGGTGACTTCCTATTTTTGGTCGCCGGCAGTGCAAATGTGCAGAGCGGACACGAATGCCCGCTATGCAAACGTCATTTAAGCGAGTTATATGAGCATGTCGACCGAATCTATAGGAGACTGACCGAAACTGTAGAATTCCCCCTTGGAACCCTAACCAACACGAACAACGATGTCGAAAAGAAGAAACTAAAGGGCTAGAATAGAATTTTGTTCTTTCGGAATATAGCAGCCCTTCAGAAAAAAAGTTGTTTTTTTTTTCTTTAATTTTTTAGATAGATGCTGTCCCCAATTCTCAGATCTCAGGTCTGTAACTCAACTGTAACTCAACCGATGCAATAAGTAGAAGCTTTCCTATCCCACGTTTAAAATGACAAGATATGAGTCAACATTTTTTTTTTCAAGGATGTCATGCCGGCGTCCATCGAGCCTAGTTTTGAGTGAAGCAATCGAGAGAAGTTTATGAGTGTGGAGACTCTCGAACTATTTTATGCAAGATACAATAGGGCTGCCTGTGACACCGGGTTTATGAATTTTTGAGAGCAGATTGAAGACTCCGACCTTCGGATCCTCACGTATGAGGAGGGATATAAAAAAAAGTCCATCCTCTTCGGATCGACTTTATATTTGAGAAAAAAAGTTTTTTCCTTTGGAGATGCTGCATCGAAGGATCTCTCGTGCCGCGTTGATTGAATTCACTCGATCGTGCTGAGAGAGTCTGCTGAGTTCACGACAAGACTGTAATGGACTCGTCTAGATCTAGGGCCTACTGAACTCTCTGATTTTGATAGGTTGCTTTCATCGTCGGGTCGGATTCTCCTCAAGGAGAGGAGACGGGCGGTCTCAAATTTTTTAGGGATTCTCATTGAGGAGGGTTGGAGGATTCCAAGGGATGCTCATTAAGGAGGGTTGGAGGATTCCATTCGGTCCGTTTCCATCGAGACGATGCAGAAGGAAGTTGTGGGTCGTTATGGTCAGTTGGGACATCAGGGCCGGGCAAATCAGAGCGTCTCTCATAAATATCTTTCAGACGCACTCTCCCGGCGAAGACCTGGAAGACACAAAAGAGAGTCATTTCATGGTAGTGAAACACCGGTGAAAGGAGTCATTTCGAGAAGACAGAAGTCTCCGCTTCAGAAAGTCGACGGGAAGAGAGATTGCACACAGGTTGTATAGGTTCCGAGGCATTTCGGACGAGAGCGGTGCCCAGGATGAGCATCGGACTCAGGCGCCGAACCCAGGGGGCAAAGGGGCACGTGCCCCCCAACTATATTATTGAGGGGGCAACGCCTCCCCGAGAATGGCCAAATTTCAACAAAAGGATGGCACACGAAAAATTGGAAACAAGATTCTGCTTCGCGAAAGAAATTAAAAATATGATTTTCCTTTCTGTTTAGAGCTGCAACAGGGGGGAGATCCCTGTGTCACCCCATAAGGATATGGGGTGGGAGGGCCACCCCCCCCGCCCCAATTCGGCCCAAGTATTGCATCTTACTAGGCCCAGGGATATGGCCGAGGCTCGACCATTGTGACATTTCTCATATGGCCCATGTCTGGCTGCCACATTGGGCCCATGTTATTTTGCAATGCATATGCCTTACTTGGCCCAGTCATGGTTGGCTACCTGGGGAGCTACCCCAATGGATCCTGGGATAATACCATCACTGATATTTCAGGGGCATTAGGAACTTGCCTCCCCAATATTTGTTAGAAGTCGGCGCTATGGCATCGGTCATGCGATGGTGGCACGTTCGATGCTCACAGGCGTTACGCCTCTCTTCGATTTGGCCTATGCGTAGAAGACCGATTGCCTTCTGAATCCTATAGATATCGAGGCGAGGGGAATCGTGATACCTTCCCCGAGAGAACTCGGAATATATCGAGTGG